AGTTGTTCTATATCCTTTCTGGTTCATCCAGGTAGAAGTCCTGGCATATTATTATGCCTGAGCGCTTCTAGGATATATAGCACGTTTAGCATTTCAACCCGTAGCCGTAAAAAAAAAAAAGAAAAAGGCAGTTGTTCTATATCCTTTCTGGTTCATCCAGGTAGAAGTCCTGGCATATTATTATACCTGAGCGCTTCTAGGATATATAACACGTTTAGCATTTCAACCCGTAGCCGTAAAAAAAATTTAGGCAGTTGTTGTATATCCTTTCTGGTTCATCCAGGTAGAAGTCCTGGCATGATGTTATTATGCCTGAGCGCTTCTAGGATATATAACACGTTTAGCATTTCGACCCGTAGCCAAAAAAAGAAAATTAAGCAGTTGTTGTATATCCTTTCTGGTTCATCCAGGTAGAAGTCCTGGCATAATGTTACTATGCCTGAGCGCTTCTAGGATATATAACACCTTTAGCACTTCGATCCGTAGCCGAAAAATGTTTCTTTTTAGACGGCACTGAATTATTTTTCCGAAAGCAAAGCCGTACATTTTGTTAGATACCGCACTTTTAATTAATTACATTTCTCGCCCTAGGATGATGACATGATTGCGTGAAAATTGACGCCTCAACATATTAGATGCGAAATACGATCAGAGATTAATGGAATAGGGAATGTTGCAAGCTACTGGGTATCCAGCTGAGATAGCTGACTTTTACTCAGCTATCTCAGCTGGATACTGAGGGTTTTTTTGGTTGCTAAGATCGTGCGGCTCGTTATGTATTCCCATGTATAGCTTTGTATAGCTATGTTTTGCCATGTATTGCCATATATACCCATGTATTACCATGTATTGCCATGTATAGCCATGTATTACTATGTATTAGCATGTATTGCCATGTATTGCCATGTATACAGGGGCACCCAAGGAATATTTTTCTGAAAATGAGCCGTTAACTACAAAAAACGAAAATTTAGATGCTTTTAAGCCATTTTCAAGGGCTTTTCTGTGTTGCTGGAAAGAATTTATCTGTTCCTTACCCCCAGCAGGTTAGATGGCTATTCTTCCAGCCAGCAGAGCGGCCTTCTCCATGTTTACCAGCCAGCAGGAAAAAAAATCAGTATTCATATAAGCGCCGCAGGGTTGCTTGGAAATTGCGGCGCTGATTCGAGTATATACAGTCAAAATAAATAACACACAGCCTTATCTCTCGCTTGTCAACCAAGAATAACAACAACTACAATAGTATTGAAAAAGGAACGTCACTAAGCCTTTCCTAGATGTACCTTTTGTGAATCCTATTCAGTCCAACTTGAATATAATACATCAGGCTGTTTAATAGGTTTTGACAACCGTGAACTCGCGCTCCGCCAAAACCCGAATGTTTTAAGAATTTTTTAACAGTTGTGTAACACTATTATGAGAGATGGACGAAAAGAATGCAGTTACCAAGAACATGCAGATATAACACTTTATTGTGACTATTGGCAACCTTAAGATACCTTTCCTTTACACCCGATAAGTTTGTTCTGCAGTTGGTGCTTCCACAAAAAACCTAAAACACTTAAATCTAAAGACAAGGAAAAAAAGAACCATTTGATGAATATTAAAGAAAACCTACTAAATCCAGGTGAAAGAGGTAAAAATTTAATAATTCCAACAGACAAGTGTTGTTTTTTGTTTAAAAATATTCTCTCCCTAAGAATGAATGGAATGTTGCTATCGACATCATCCATCACGGGCATGTAGAGGGGTTTTATTAAATCAACTTTTCCCAAATTTGGTTCTAAATTATTTTCTGAAAACATGGTTGAAATTGCATTTCTCTTCTTGTCTGTATGTCAAAGCTTTTTCCTTAAAACAGAGCTCCTCATTAACTGCTCTTTATTTTTTTTAATTTCTAAACATACACATACTGAATAAGGGCTAGGACATTTTACTTCTAGGTTCTAAACGGTTGAGCTACTTTAACCGCATTAAATACAGTTATAATTGAAACATGCAATTTCTAGTGAAGTTAAAAAAAATTTAAATAAATGTACTACATAAACCATGGATCAGTCTTTGCAATCCACACTACATCTGCAACTTGCACAACAATCATTGTAAAATAGCACAAAAAATGAAGACAATTGTACACACATCAGCAGTAAAATTATAACCATGTCTTCTAATTAAACAAGTTATTTAGGAATTTATTAAAACAGCTCTGAGACGGTTACCCTAGTTGAAACAAAACAAAAAAGGGGTAAATGATTTTTAAAAAAAGTTGAGAAGGACAAATAACTGATAATAAGGCCAAGCTAACAGCACCCATCGTCAAAAGCCTTACACAACATGTGGAAGAAGAGAGGGTCGCAAGGACGAACAGACAAGGAATGCTCGTTGTCACAACTCTAGCCCCGCCTACGACAGGAGAGAGGGTCGCAACGACGAACAGACAAAGAATGCTCGTTTTCACAACTCTAGCCCCCCCTAATGGCAGGAGAGAGGGTCGCAAGGACGAACAGACAAAGAATGCTCGTTGTCACAACTCCACCTAATGGCAGGAGAGAGGGTCGCAAGGACGAACAAACAAAGAATGCTCGTTGTCACAACTCTACCCCACCTAATGGCAGGAGAGAGGGTCGCAAGGACGAACAAACAAAGAATGCTCGTTGTCACAACTCTAGCCACACCTAATGGCAGGAGAGAGGGTCGCAAGGACGAACAGACAAAGACCATTACATCAGAATGGCAGTACTTGTTTAACTCCTCCCAGAGGACATATTCTTATTTCTTGCCAATTCAGTCGCGTACCAAGTGTCAAACTCTTTTCGTTTCTTTTGCTTCATTGCTTGTGGCTGAAAATAGTGTCTTGCCGGTAGACGACCCCTGTAAGTTAAACTCTCTCTTGTATGGAACGCATGCGGAAAGAAACCTTTATGAAGCTCGACGAAATTGAATGTTTCAGGCAACTCGGCCAGTGGCATTGGGAGAAAACAAAGTGAATCTTTGAAGGTAATCATGGCGTCCAGATACCCGTAATGGAACTTCAGGGTTTTGGCGCCCGTCGTCAGCTGGTTTTCCACCTTAATACCCTGACGGTAAAGTTCCTCGATGATAAAGTTGCTATCAAAACCCTTGAGGTTGTGAAAAATTATAAATAAATCACGCTGTTTGTCTCCCACTTCTGTTAGTCGATTCAGAGCTTGAATGAACTGTTCAATGCAGGTTTCGCCACTAAAGGCATGAGAAACATTGTGTGGATCTTCTTCAGTAGCATATGGAATCAAATCTGCTATGAATAACTGCTTTCCCTGCTCTGTGGGTTCTATCAAACATTCGATGTCAGCAAGCACCATGAGAGGTGGTAGCTTCTTTTCCTCGTCATCATCATCATCATCATCGTGTTCCTCATCGTCTACATCTTCGACACGTTGGATGTAACATTTGTGTTTGTATATTTCAACAAATTCATGGCAGTGACGGCAAGTGTCGTGGTAGCATTTGTGTTGCTGCTTTGGATTCACTTTATAAACTTTACAGCATTTTAGACGCTTCTTTAGTTTCCGACAGAGACTGACTTTTTTCTTGCCTTTTGGTTCTTTATGGGCTTTGAAACAGTCTGGACCATAGAAATCACGCTGGCAGACTTTGCAGTGAATGGTACGTTTCTTGCCTGGGGAAAAATCTGGGCAGCCTCCTATATTTTTCGGAGAACGTTTGCGCTGACAACTAGTGCAATTACGACCTCTACAAGAATAGTTTGCTGCGTCGTCTACATCGTACCCTTTACAGCAATCAGGGCAGAAGTAGGACTGATTCCAAAAAGCAATAATGCTTCTTAAACCATTGTAGTGATTCTCGTGTTTAAGCAAATAGATGACTTTGCTGTACTGATCCACATTGCCTTGAAAGGTACAGGCACAAGATACTTAATCAAACACGATGATTTTGTAGCCTTGGGGTCCTAGGAACGTTTGAAATTTTTCTAGTTCCTCATAGCCACAGGGACCCTCCGGTACCCCTGCCTCTTGGTGAAGCTGCTTAGCTAGGCGTTCTTGAATGGGTCTTCCATCTCTTAGATTTCTATATTGCTTCTGAGGATCGCCGTCCACGTACTCCTTCATCGTTACGATGGCACGAGCACAGCATAATTCATCTGTGTTTTTGATCTTAATCATACAATTTTTCTTTTTGTGCATCAAATCAAAGGGTAATTTGATTGGATTTTTAGAAGCTGGACCTTTGCCACCTTTGTCAGGGTAGGTGATAAACGTGAGAGTGGCATTGAACCCATATTTTGAGCGCAAAACATAGCATGTACATAATCACCACGGTGTACAAACTCCTTCACGGGAATCCCATACTTCAAATGGGATAAGTATCCCGAACTGACAGTGCCATTTGAATGTTCTTTTGAGGTTAAAGTCAGATGAACTTTTGTTGAATCCGACAGGTTTTCCTTTAGTATCGTTTCCCTTACCGCTTCAAACAGCGACCCTGACAAGCCCTCTCCCAAAGATTCCTCTTCTGTGGGTTTACGTAACTGGTCAAACGTAACGGTGAATTGCTCTTTCTTGACTGCTCCCTTTAAACCTTGCCGTTTGTATGGTAGAAACGTGAGATTGGATTTGAACAATGGATTCTCAGACAGCTCTAAACGATTGGCTCTCTCTACCAAAAAGTCGTCCATTCCCTCGTCTATCATATCAGACATGTTTACGTCCTCTTCTAATTTTCTTTTACCTGCCCTTGGTTCGTCTTTCAAAGGTTTAAGGCCCTCCTTTGCACTCTCGAGGTCTTTTTTCATACGTCTAGTACTCACAGCTCCGCCCTGCTGACTTTCATCACTGACTAGTGTTGGAACTTTCTCTGAATGCAATAACTGAAGGCGTAATAGTTCAGCCGACTCTTCTGCTTTTCGCTTTCCTGCTTCGGAATGGACCTTACTAACATGTTTCTTCAAATCGTCTCTTCTTGAATATGTCTTATGACAGTATAGACATTTAACGCGACGCTCTGAAGTCCCACAACGTTTCTTATGACGAAAGAAATTTCCTCTGTTCTTGATTGTCTTTCCGCATGTAGAACAAGCTCGTGGATACGTTGCTTTGCACATGATCGATCTTTACACAAGGACACAATGATCTCAAATGATTTTTCATGGTTGATATCCGTCTTTTGTACCTGTTCTAGTCAAACGAAGGACGTCATCATCTAAAAATAGAAACAATTTCTGCTAAATCAGCAAATCGGTGGGTGACGTCACTGTGGCCTGTCGAACTTTAACCTGTTTTATCACCATATCCACTCAACTGTGACTTTAAGCGAGGATAAGTTAGCACTGCCCTCGACTGATATAGCCCTAAGCACTGCACTCGACTGATTTAGCCCTAAGCACTGCGCTCGACTGATTTAACCCTAAGCAATGCGCTCGACTGATTTAACCCTAAGCACTACACTCGACTGAGTTAGCCCCAAGCACTGCACTCGACTGATTTAGCCCTGAGCACTGCGCTCGACTGATTTAACCCTAAGGACTGCACTCGACTGATTTAACCCTAAGCACTGCGCTCGACTGATTTAACCCTAAGCACTGCACTCGACTGAGTTAGCCCTAAGCACTGCACTCGACTGATTTAGCCCTAAGCACTGCACTCGACTGAGTTTGCCCTAAGCACTGCACTCGACTGATTTAACCCTAAGCACTGCGCTCGACTGATTTAACCCTAAGGACTGCACTCGACTGATTTAACCCTAAGAACTGCGCTCGACTGATTTAACCCTAAGCACTGCACTAGACTGATTTAACCCTAGGCACTGCACTCGACTTATTAGGGTAAGGCAATTCGCCCAGAATTGGTTCTCCACCTTCTCCTATGTCATCATCATTCCCTTCGCTGTCATAGTAACGGATTGCGATTAGGGTGTCCGCTATGGTGTCCGCTGTTGACCTTCATCATTCCAAAATTTAGAAGGGTTTGTATGGCGACGAACCTCATTTGCATAACAATGGTGTCTAAACAGACTAGTATTACTGCTTACATGGCAATACATGGTGACACGTAATAATACATGGTAATACATGGCAATACACGGTAATACATACCGATACATGGCAGCACTTGGTAATACGTGGCGATAAATGGCAATACATGGCAAAACATGGTAATACATGGCAATAAATGGCAGCACATGGTAATACATGACGATACATACCAATACATCGCAATACATGGTAATACATGGCATTACATGGGAATACATGGCTATACATGGTAATACATGGCAATACATGGCATAACATGGGTATACATACCTATACATGGTAATACATGACAATACATGGCATTACATGAGTATACATGGTTATACGTGGCTATACATGGTAATACATGGCAATACATGGCATTACATGGGTATACATGGGTATACATGGCTATACATGGCGATACATGGTAATACATGGCGATACATGGTAATACATAGTAATACATGGTGATACATGGCAATACATGGCTATGCTTGGTAATACATGGCAATACATGGTAATTCATGGCGATACCTGGCAGCACATGGTAATACATGTCGATACATGGCAATACATGGCTATACATGGTAATACATCGCAATACATGGTAATATATGGTAACACATGGCAATACATGGCTATACATGGCAGTACACGGTAATACATGGCTATACATGGCAATACGTGGCTATACATGGTAATACATGACGATACATGGTAATACATGGCAATACAAGGCTATACATGGTAATACATGGCAATACATGCTAATACCTGGTAATCCATGGCTATACATGGTAATAAATGGCGATACATGGTAATACATAGTAATACATGGGAATACATGTCAATACATGGCTATTCACGGCAGTACATGGTAATACATGGCTATATATGGCAATACGTGGCTATACATGGTGATACATGGCGATGCATGGTAATACATGGCAATACAAGTCTATACATGGAAATACATGGCAATACATGGCTATACATGGCAGTACATGGTAATACATGGCTATACACGGCAATACACGGCAATACATGGCAATACATGGCAATACATAGTAACACATGGCTATACATGGCAGTACATGGCAATACATGGCTATACATGGCAATACATGGCAATACATGGCTATACATGGCAATACATGGCAATACATGATAATACAAAGAGATATATGGTAGCACATAGTAATATATGGCGATAAATGACTATACTTGACAGTACATGGCAATACATGGTAATACACGGCAATACATGGCTATACATTGCAATACATGGCTATACATGGTAATACATGGCTATACATAGTAATACATGGCAATACATGGCTATACATGGTAATAGATGGTAATACATGGCAATACATAGTAATACATGGCTATACATGGAAATACATGGTAATACATAATAATACATGACAATACATAGCTATACATAGCATTACATGGCTATACATAGCTATACATGGCAATACATGGTAATACATGGCAATACATGGTGATACATGGTAATACATGGTAATACATGGCAATACATGGCAATACATGGTAATACATAGTAATACGTGGTGAGACATGGTAATACATGGCAGTACATGGAAATACATGGCAATACATGATAATACATTCCGATATGTGGCAAAACATGGTAATTCATTGCGATACATGGCAATACACCGCAATACATGGTAATACATGGCAATACATGGCAGCACATGGTAATATATAGCGATATATGGCAGTAGATCGCAATACATGGTAATACATGGCAATACATGGTAATACATGGCGATACATGGTAATATATGGTAATACATGGCGCTATATGGCAATACATCGCTATACATGGTAATACATGGCGTTACATGGTAATACATAGTAATACATGGTAATACATGGCTATACATGGGTATACATGGTAATACATGGCTATACATGGCAATACATAGTAATTCATGGCTATACATGGCTATACATGGTAATATATGGCATTACATGGGTATACGTGGCTATACATGGCTATACATGGTAATACATGGCGATACATGGTGATACATAGTAATACATGGTAATACATGGCTATACATGGCTCTACATGGTAATACATGGCAACACATAGTAATACATGGCTATACATGGCAATACATGGTAATACATGGCTATACATGGCTATACATGGCTTTACATGGTAATACATGGCTATACATTGTAATAGATGGCGATACATGGTAATACATAGTAATACATGGCTATACATGGCTATACATGGCTTTACATGGCATTACATGGCTATACATGGCTATACATGTCAATACATGGCTATACATGGGTGTACATGGCGATACATGGGTATACATGGTAATACATGGCTATACATGGGTATACATGGCTATATATGGGTATTCATGGTAATACATGGCGATACCTGGCTATACATGGTAATACATGGCTATACATGGGTATACATGGCTATACATTGGTATTCATGGTAATAGATGGCGATACATGGTAATACATAGTAATACATGGCTATACATGGCTATACATGGCTTTACATGGCATTGCATGGCTATAGATGGCTATACATGTCAATACATGGCTATACATGGGTGTACGTGGAGATACATGAGTATACATGGTAATACATGGCTATACATGGCTATACATGGTAATACATGGCTATACATGACATTACATGGCTATACATGGCATGACATGGCTATACATGACATTATATGGCTATACATGGCATTACATGGCTATTTTTATTTATTTCTTGATACACTTTAATAACCCTACTTAAGGTACCTACCAAAAACACAGGAACACAGGGAGAGTCAGAGGAAAACATAGAAAAACACGGAAAAACAGGGAGAATCAAGGAAAAACATAGAAAAACATGGGAAAACAGGAGAAAATGTAGCAAAACACGGGAAAACAGTGGAAAACATAGAAAACACAGGAAAGCAGGAAGAATCAGAGGAAAACATAGAAAAACATGGGAAAACAGGAAGAATCAGGGGAAAACCTAGAAAAACACGACAAAACAGGGAGAACACTCGACTGATTTAACCCTAAGCACTGCGCTCGACTGATTTAACCCTAAGCACTGCACTCGACTGAGTTAGCCCTAAGCACTGCACTCGACTGATTTAGCCCTAAGCACTGCACTCGACTGAGTTTGCCCTAAGCACTGCACTCGACTGATTTAACCCTAAGCACTGCGCTCGACTGATTTAACCCTAAGGACTGCACTCGACTGATTTAACCCTAAGAACTGCGCTCGACTGATTTAACCCTAAGCACTGCACTAGACTGATTTAACCCTAGGCACTGCACTCGACTTATTAGGGTAAGGCAATTCGCCCAGAATTGGTTCTCCACCTTCTCCTATGTCATCATCATTCCCTTCGCTGTCATAGTAACGGATTGCGATTAGGGTGTCCGCTATGGTGTCCGCTGTTGACCTTCATCATTCCAAAATTTAGAAGGGTTTGTATGGCGACGAACCTCATTTGCATAACAATGGTGTCTAAACAGACTAGTATTACTGCTTACATGGCAATACATGGTGACACGTAATAATACATGGTAATACATGGCAATACACGGTAATACATACCGATACATGGCAGCACTTGGTAATACGTGGCGATAAATGGCAATACATGGCAAAACATGGTAATACATGGCAATAAATGGCAGCACATGGTAATACATGACGATACATACCAATACATCGCAATACATGGTAATACATGGCATTACATGGGAATACATGGCTATACATGGTAATACATGGCAATACATGGCATAACATGGGTATACATACCTATACATGGTAATACATGACAATACATGGCATTACATGAGTATACATGGTTATACGTGGCTATACATGGTAATACATGGCAATACATGGCATTACATGGGTATACATGGGTATACATGGCTATACATGGCGATACATGGTAATACATGGCGATACATGGTAATACATAGTAATACATGGTGATACATGGCAATACATGGCTATGCTTGGTAATACATGGCAATACATGGTAATTCATGGCGATACCTGGCAGCACATGGTAATACATGTCGATACATGGCAATACATGGCTATACATGGTAATACATCGCAATACATGGTAATATATGGTAACACATGGCAATACATGGCTATACATGGCAGTACACGGTAATACATGGCTATACATGGCAATACGTGGCTATACATGGTAATACATGACGATACATGGTAATACATGGCAATACAAGGCTATACATGGTAATACATGGCAATACATGCTAATACCTGGTAATCCATGGCTATACATGGTAATAAATGGCGATACATGGTAATACATAGTAATACATGGGAATACATGTCAATACATGGCTATTCACGGCAGTACATGGTAATACATGGCTATATATGGCAATACGTGGCTATACATGGTGATACATGGCGATGCATGGTAATACATGGCAATACAAGTCTATACATGGAAATACATGGCAATACATGGCTATACATGGCAGTACATGGTAATACATGGCTATACACGGCAATACACGGCAATACATGGCAATACATGGCAATACATAGTAACACATGGCTATACATGGCAGTACATGGCAATACATGGCTATACATGGCAATACATGGCAATACATGGCTATACATGGCAATACATGGCAATACATGGTAATACAAAGAGATATATGGTAGCACATAGTAATATATGGCGATAAATGACTATACTTGACAGTACATGGCAATACATGGTAATACACGGCAATACATGGCTATACATTGCAATACATGGCTATACATGGTAATACATGGCTATACATAGTAATACATGGCAATACATGGCTATACATGGTAATAGATGGTAATACATGGCAATACATAGTAATACATGGCTATACATGGAAATACATGGTAATACATAATAATACATGACAATACATAGCTATACATAGCATTACATGGCTATACATAGCTATACATGGCAATACATGGTAATACATGGCAATACATGGTGATACATGGTAATACATGGTAATACATGGCAATACATGGCAATACATGGTAATACATAGTAATACGTGGTGAGACATGGTAATACATGGCAGTACATGGAAATACATGGCAATACATGATAATACATTCCGATATGTGGCAAAACATGGTAATACATTGCGATACATGGCAATACACCGCAATACATGGTAATACATGGCAATACATGGCAGCACATGGTAATATATAGCGATATATGGCAGTAGATCGCAATACATGGTAATACATGGCAATACATGGTAATACATGGCGATACATGGTAATATATGGTAATACATGGCGCTATATGGCAATACATCGCTATACATGGTAATACATGGCGTTACATGGTAATACATAGTAATACATGGTAATACATGGCTATACATGGGTATACATGGTAATACATGGCTATACATGGCAATACATAGTAATTCATGGCTATACATGGCTATACATGGTAATATATGGCATTACATGGGTATACGTGGCTATACATGGCTATACATGGTAATACATGGCGATACATGGTGATACATAGTAATACATGGTAATACATGGCTATACATGGCTCTACATGGTAATACATGGCAACACATAGTAATACATGGCTATACATGGCAATACATGGTAATACATGGCTATACATGGCTATACATGGCTTTACATGGTAATACATGGCTATACATTGTAATAGATGGCGATACATGGTAATACATAGTAATACATGGCTATACATGGCTATACATGGCTTTACATGGCATTACATGGCTATACATGGCTATACATGTCAATACATGGCTATACATGGGTGTACATGGCGATACATGGGTATACATGGTAATACATGGCTATACATGGGTATACATGGCTATATATGGGTATTCATGGTAATACATGGCGATACCTGGCTATACATGGTAATACATGGCTATACATGGGTATACATGGCTATACATTGGTATTCATGGTAATAGATGGCGATACATGGTAATACATAGTAATACATGGCTATACATGGCTATACATGGCTTTACATGGCATTGCATGGCTATAGATGGCTATACATGTCAATACATGGCTATACATGGGTGTACGTGGAGATACATGAGTATACATGGTAATACATGGCTATACATGGCTATACATGGTAATACATGGCTATACATGACATTACATGGCTATACATGGCATGACATGGCTATACATGACATTATATGGCTATACATGGCATTACATGGCTATTTTTATTTATTTCTTGATACACTTTAATAACCCTACTTAAGGTACCTACCAAAAACACAGGAACACAGGGAGAGTCAGAGGAAAACATAGAAAAACACGGAAAAACAGGGAGAATCAAGGAAAAACATAGAAAAACATGGGAAAACAGGAGAAAATGTAGCAAAACACGGGAAAACAGTGGAAAACATAGAAAACACAGGAAAGCAGGAAGAATCAGAGGAAAACATAGAAAAACATGGGAAAACAGGAAGAATCAGGGGAAAACCTAGAAAAACACGACAAAACAGGGAGAATCAGAGGAGAACGTAGAAAACCATGGGAAAACAGGGGAAAACGTAGAAAAACAAGGAAAACAGTGAGAATCAGGGGAAAACATTCTAAAAACATGAGAATACAGGGAGAATCAGAGGAAAACATAGAAAAACACGGATAAACAGGGAGAATCAAGGAAAAACATAGAAAAACATGGGAAAACGGGAGAAAATGTATAAAAACACGGGAAAACAGGGAGAATCAGAGGAAACCATAGAAAAACACGGAAAAACAGGGAGAATCAAGGAAAAACATAGAAAAACATCGGAAAACGGGAAAACGTAGAAAAACACAGGAACACAGGGAGAGTCAGAGGAAAACATAGAAAAACACGGAAAAACAGGAAGAATCAATGAAAAACATAGAAAAACACGGGAAAACAGTAGAAAATGTAGAAAAACACGGGAAAACAGGGAGAATCGGGGAAAGCATAGAAAAACACGAGGAAACAAGAGATAACGTAGGGAAAACAGGGGAATGCAAAAGAATACAGGGAATCTTTTATATAGGACAGCACTTCTTTAATACAATTAATGCGGTCCCAAGGGAAATACACACGCCACCTGGAAGTAAAAAGGGCATGCCTTGGCATCCCCTAAAATGTATAAATAACAGTAAAGGTTATTGAGTATCACATATTGTGATGTATAATCTAAAGAGGGTAGTTTATACGTAACGGTTTGTCGGTCCGATTTTGCAAAGAAAACCTTTTCTGTGCTCAAAAATCGGCCTAATTTACCATTTGTGTAGACTCCCTTTGAGAAGTAAAGATTGACCTATAAACATAAACTGTGAACTGGACGCAGCCAAAGAGTGTCGTGAATGATAACCAGCCTTTTTAAAACATTACATTTCATGGGCTATTAGCTTCTGAAAGGTGGATGTGGCTGGGGGTGGGTGGGTTCAGTGATGCACACGTACGGCCAAGAAATTCTTTCCGCGCCTATTACTGTGATCGAACTTGATTTTTAATTTTTGCTTTTAGTTTTAAAATCAGTTAAGTATATATTTTTTTTGGTTTTAAGAGCGACTGTCTGTAAATATCGACCAAAATCGACTTTTTGTGGTACAACTTCAAAATTCGAATTTCGCTCGTTTTTGGCTCATCGATAACCCTTAATGAGTAATGAAACATGCTGTAGTTAGTTTTCCCAAATAAAGTGTTCTTTTGTCAAAATTCGAGAAAACTCATTTTGTCCGTTCGGAGCTCAAAATCCACTTCCGGTAAAACGAAATTGTACACAAATTTCATTGACTCGTACGACAAACCACAACGATTTGGCAGCCTTTGAAGAGCACAGATAGTTTTTATGACCCTTTCTTTCTCACAAGACGATAAATTTGTGAAAGCTGTAATGATTTTGTGGCCAAAAAAATATTGTTAAAAATAGGCCCTTTTGACAATTTTTACCGTTCAAAATTATACGGATAAAATAATGCAAATTTTTACGATGCGCTATGACTTAGAATTTCGCAAATTGGCTTTCCAAGGCTTGACTAGGCCCCAATCTATCAGAAAATCGAAACAAATCTCTGGGCAAACGATTTTAAGTAGCCCGCAAGACCTCGAGTTCAACCCTAATTTTGCGAAAAATCGCGACATTCCAGTGTTTAAAAATAGCGTTACACGGCCCATCACGCCAGCGGTGTTAATTAACGACAGATGCACTTAAACATTCTATTCAACGTTGATCACATGCCAAATTCTAGCATACAATCTATATTACATCTTTCAATACACTTGCGAGTTTTCTCTTTCAAGTTATTATGTATACGTATACATGTACGTTTCGATGTATTATGATCACGCTTATAAAGGTACTTTGTAACGAACGTCTCAGAAAATATTTCAACTCGTTTCGATCGACGATGAAACGTCATCATCAAAAACAAATCGCCAAAAACTTTACTATACAGCAAAACGGAAAATAGAAAAAAAGTGGCTTTTTAGGCAGGCCAAAATAGGAATAGTTGCAGCGTGAGTATGCCGGAGCTTTTAAATTTCAAATGCCCCTAAATGGACATCTATAGATCCGTTGCATCGGCTTGAAAAAAACTCTCTGGCCTACTAAGAACTAGCCTGTTCGAGGCGTAGTAGGCAGTGGATAGTGGACAGTGGCGCGAAATGGGGAATGGAGGAAAACAAACGTGGAAGAGAATAAAAGAGAGAGAGTAGGAGGATCTTTCGCCCTGTCTCCCTAACCCCGCCCCTTCGTCATTTTTTCTAGCTAACTTTTCTTTGCTTTTTCCCCAACTATCTTAAGCCCTGTTACAGGTTAATTACGTGCATTCATTCATTTCCAACTTTTTATAGTATATATTCAACTTGAGCGTCGAGCACTTTTAGCACTTTGTTATTGATCAGCGGGAACGGATTTGGTAGTACTAACTTTTCAACTGCTTTTAGACAGCGAAACTGTCATTTTTTTCTTTCTTAATTTCTTTCTTTTATTTTTTTTGTTTGTCAGTTTCTATCATATTTTTAGACGTATTTTTCGCTTTTCTCCCCAGTCTCACTCACTCCCCGCCAACAAAAAGAAGAGGAAAAAACAACAAGAAGAAAAAAAAACATTGAGGGCGCGTGTGTTAGTTGTAACCGCTGTAACATTTGTTTGGTGTAGAGGAATAGCGAGTTTTCTTTTGGTGTGTCTTAAAAAGTAATTAGAGACATTGCAACGATCTGCCATTGCTACGATCTACTATGCACTTAACAAGGCCCCTCGAGGTACTTAATGAGAGGAAGCTGTATCGCAGGCTTTTGGACACAAGGCTTTTCTACTATTTACATGGGTAAATCGGTCGCTTCAGGGTTTGGACAAATGGTGAAAAGAATGCAGGTCTGATTAATTTTGATTCCGTTCCGGGTAATCGCGTTTACCATTTGCCTAAGTCATTTTCGTTTCACGAAAAACGGCCGCGAAAGCCTGAGACTAATATTCGAAAATGGGTTTGAAGACATGAAATCCAAATTTCTGCCTGGAATTTTCCAACAGGAAAATAGCCGAATGCCTTTTCAGACGTTCCGTTTGTTTCAAGAATTTTTCCACTCAAACGTCGAAAACAACCTGAAACTGAGTTAATGGTAAGCCTGGCAAAGCACCATCCAGTAGCTTCATGATTCACACACGATGTCATACAAGTATATAGGCTCCTCTTTGGCATCCACGTAGCGTTTTGTCAGTTTTAACATCCGGGAGAGGGGGGGTACTCCCTATAATGGCCTATATGGGGAGGATCCGCCCGAAAGGGGTACCTTTTTCAGGCTTCAGGTATATGAAAGGGTAGGGATTTTACTCGTTGTAGTATATGAAAGGGTAGAGAAATCGGTCATTTCGGTCTGTGAAAGGGCCGAACAGATGAATTTTATGGCTTTATAAAGTCGGGAAAACGTTAACGTTATTTTTGTGATTGATTCCTATTTAAATGACAATGCATTTACAGCAGTTAAAAGGAATGCAAAGTTCTAAACTAGGTATGTGAAAGGGGTACCATTTGTCAATAGAAGGTATACGAAAGGGCTACCTTTTGTGAAAAATGGTATATAAAAGGGTAAGGGGTTGGACCTCGTGGCGGAGCCCTCCCGTATAAAAATTTGTTGAGTACCCCCCGGGTTTTGAGAGCCCGCAAGATAAGAACTTCGAAAAGAACAATTGCACCAATTCTTAGTCGAAAATATTTATTGCTTCAAGGAGATTAGCTTTTATAAAAAAAATGGCATTGTTTGGCGATGATTTAATTTGTAAATATTCCGCAATGCAAAAA